GGCACTCGAGCCAGTTTGGGGAGTGCGTCGATTGCAAGGTCGATGTACGTGATGCCTTCGGGGATCCTCGCAGGGTGTACATACTGCTCGAGACGGTTCTTGGCTCGGACACATTCCGACGCATGTTTCCTGTTCACGGGAACTTTGGGACCATTGGGTCCGGGCTTCCTGCACGCTCCATCAGGTTTGGGAGGGAAGCCTCCGACCCGCCAGAGAAACATTCTTCGGGCTTGAGCGACTGATATCACTGGCATCCGTGCGGTCAGGATAGGGTCTCCATCCCATTTGTAGGTGCCTGCGATCGACATCACCTTGCTTGGGTTTCTTTCCTTTTCGTAGAAGCGCATAATCATTGCCTTCTTGATGGGAACGCCTGTTCCTGTCCCCTTCTCGAATAGGGCCGGTCTTGAATGCTCTGGGAAGGTTCTGTGCTGCTGTTCCAGCTCTTTCCAGGTGGCGTTTCCGGTCAGCTTGGAGAGGATCCTTTTGTTTGTATCCCTTGCTGGGAGCTCCGCAATGTGTCTGAGCACCTGCGACGTGAGGAAGCCTGGGTCGCCTCTGCGATCGTACCAGCGGCCGAAGCACTTGATCGTCAGTACTTGTTTCCGAGTTGACATAGAGTATATCCCCGTGACCGCCTGTATCGCCGGCCCGGATATGTTGTGGCGGATGTTGAGGGCGGATCGAAGTGTCTCCATCATGCATCGTTGCAGATCGTTCATCGTGGGTCCGCTCAGATTGATGATGGCAAGGCCGTATTCCAGACGCGGTCGGACAAAGGTCTTGTATATCTTGACTATCAGTCCGGGGTAGATGGATTTGCTGAATATCCCGTGCTTTCTGAGCTCCTTGGTTTGAAGCTGGGCCTTGTGTTTGAGCTTGCTTGCATGGGCTTCCACGTCAATGCCTTCGGGGCCGAATTGCACCCCAAGATATTTGAAGGTGGAGCGGACAAACTCGAGCGGTGTGTTGTTGAGGATGACAGGTGCCGGGTTGGCCTCTGCCGTTGTGACTTCGCATTTGGCTGGCGCGAACATGTAATGATGCTCCGCCGCATGCGCTTCGGATATCCTGATGAGGCTCTGCAGGTCTGCGTGATCTTTTGCAATCAACGCCATATCATCGGCGTACATGACGTTGTTGATGATAAGATCTCCTATTCGTGGCGAGGCGATCGCCCGGAGACGTTGTGAGAGGTCGTCCATGAAGAGGCTGTAAAGGGTGGGAGAGAGGACCGATCCTTGCAGCAGCCCCGTCTCAAGCCAGTATGGCTTGGAGCTGGTGCCGCTCACCAGGACGGTGGTGCTCACGTCGTCAAAGAGAGCACGGAGGATGCGGACCGTGTGCGCGGGAACGTTCCGGTTCTCGAGCTTGGGCCAGAGCAGCTGACGATCGACCGAGTCGTAAGCGGCCTTGATGTCCATAAAGGCAATCCACGGAGTGTGTCCGTCGTTCATCATCATTTTAACAATGGTGTCGAGTGCAAAGACCTGGTCCAGGGTCCCTCTGTTGTTGCGGAAGCCTCCTTGGGAGATGTCGATGGCGCCCATCTCCTGCTGCAGTCGGCTGTGAATGATTCGTTCAAAGACCTTTCGGACGACCTGCAGAAGCGATATTGGCCTGTAGGTCTTGATGTCGGCTTCTTCGCCCTTCTTCTTCCAGATCGGGTGGTTGGTGGCGACATTCCACTCTCGAGGAACGACGCCGGTCCATAGGCACCAGCTGAAAAGCTGACACAGCCATTCGGAGACGTGATCTGTGACCGGGTGCAGGAGCACGGCGCTGATCCCGTCCGAGCCGGGTGCCTTGCGCTTGCCCGTGTGCTTTATGGCAGACCGTACTTCATTTGCGGTGATTTCGTGGGCACTGGTTCGGCTGAGCAACACCTCTCGTGGTAACGGGGTGTTGTTTTTCTCTTGGACACCGTGGCGACTGGAGACATTACCAAAGTGCGTTCGGTATCGCTCCATGCTCTCCTGATCGTTTGGGAGGATCGACTGGTTGAAATAGCCACTCCTGATCTTGTTCCTCTTGCTGATTTCTTTGAGCAGATCGGTGTCTGATTTGGTCGAGAGGGACTGCGCCCAGGAGTTGTAAAAGTCTTGCTTTTGTATCCGGATCCGTTGTTTCAGGACGCTATTCCAGTGCCTGTAGTCGGCCATGGCCCGCAGCTGCAGCCTTGAGCCTTGCGGCAGCTGGTTGATCAGTCGATATGCCGCGTTCCGTCTTCTCTTGGCATCCGCCATTTCCGGGGTCCAGAAGCCGTTTTGTGGGACCGGGCCGTTTTTCTTGCGCTTGCCAATCACGATGCTGGCAACCGTTGTGATGTGGTTTTGGATGATATTCCACCCTGACTCGACGAGGGCCACGGCTGCTTCGTACGCCATTGGTCCATCTTCTTGCGGCAGCCGGTTTCCCAGCCGAGTGATCTGTTCGACGACTGTCGGGTGGTGTTCTTGTATGGCCTCCGTGTACTGCTCGAGCACTTCCGGGTCCTCGAGCTTTTTTGTCCGCCACACGAGGATTGGTGGCCGTTTGGGCTGCTTCGCAACATCCCACTCGAGCTCCATTGCAACCACACGGTGGTCGGAGTTGCACGTATCGTTGAAGTGGACCAATGCCGACTTGATCTGGTTGATAAGGGCCGTGGACGCAAAGAACAAGTCGAGGACCGAGTTTTGCGTGTTTCGTCCCCTTGCGACGTGGGTCCAGTGTTGGCCATAGGGATTGGATGAGTCGACAAACTTCAAATGGCCTTCGTTGATGGCGCTCAAGAGTGGTCTGAGTCGGCCGTTGTATATTTCTGTATCCCTGGTCATTCTTCCCATGCGGGTGTTAAAGTCGCCCATGATCACCGAAGGGATGGGAGCGTCCGTCTTGGTGGTGTTGTTTTTGATCACCGAGACTGCTTCTCTGAACTTTCGCAGTTCAGTGGCGTCGGCCGAGAGTGCAGGTCTGAGGTAGAAGGAGCCAAAGACGATGCCTCGGAACTTGAACCAGATGCTCGTGTGATGAGGTCCAACGCGGAAGTTGCTAAAGTCTTCGAGGTTGGTGGTTTTCGGGTTCCGAATGAGGGCGATTCCTCCGGTGCCTCTTGCGAGGCCGTCGACAGAGACATATGGCTCTCGGGTTTCGAAAACTATGAGGTTCTTGTAAGGTCCGATGGATTGCTGTGGTTTGAGCCACGTTTCCTGCACCGTTATAAAGTCGAGGTCTTTTGCTTTTACCATTTCGATAACCTCGTGTATAGAGGTTTCAAGTCCGCAGACATTCAGGGTCGCGAACCTAACAGTGGGCGTAGGTTGGGGCTGCATCATTTGCGGGGAGGAGTGGTTCCTTCGCGTCCGCCTTTTTCTTGGCGGCCTGGTTTGTTGCGAGCCAGTTCCTTCGCCTTAGCAGTGATCTGCTCGGCGACGGCTGGGTCGTTCATCTTCCGTTGGTACAAGGTCGCCGTGAGGAGGTCATTGGATTCCGCACATATCCTGGCAGCGCGTTCAATGAAGCTCTTGATTTGGAGCTTCTTGGACTCCTTCTCGGCCTCGGTGATCTTCGACACGTCCATGTGTGCGACTTCAGTGAATTTCATGTCCGTAATGTGCTTCAGGAATTCATCCCTCAAGCTCTTGTCCCTGAGAACGAACTCACAGACGCTGTTGTTCACAAAGCTGATATTCAGGATCTGGTTGGTGGCGAATCCCTTCTCCTTGAAAGCTTGTCTGATAGTGCGGTAGCTACCCCGAGGGATACCCTTGACGTAAACCCAAGCGGCGTTGTCCATCCTATCCTTTAAGGGTCCTTCCTCGACAGGGACCGAGGATCTGATCATCCTGAATGGCGTGGCAGTCTTGGGCACCAGCCACTTGCCGTCGGTGGGGTCACGGCCGCGGAGGATGGCGCCGATGGCCTCGTTCTTCTTGCCGGCATCGGCCTCCTGGTGGACTTTTTCGAGCGCCGCCAGCTTGCGCGCGTCGATTGTCTTGTTGTCTGGCTGCTTCTTGGCACCCCGCTGGGCGGCTGCTGCGTAGGATGTCGGAGCTGGGCGTTCCGAGATGGCCCGGGACGCATGCTCCAGCTCGGAGGCGAGCGTCTGCATGCACTCGGTGGCGCTCTGGGTCAGGGCCTTGATTCTAGCAGCTTCCTCGGGCTTGCTGAGGTCCAGCTTGGCGAGTTCTTCGTTAATCTTCTGAGCTTTCTTGAGAAGCTCACTCTGGATGTGCTGAAGCTGCTGTTGGGGACTCTGCTTCTTGCGCATGTCGGTGGCGCAGACGCGCTTCCCGACAGCCCTGGCATCGGCGAGGGAGGCCCGTTGTTCGAAAAGCTTCCATCCGGCTTCGTCATGGCGGGTCATCAGGCCCCAGAATACGAGGATGGAAAAATGCTTCCCGCATTCTTCCACCTTGGTGGCGGCGTCCGGGCTCATCAGCATGTTCTTGCAGACGACCGAGTGCTGGGCGTCGTCGATACGCCAGGCGGGGGGTTTGCTCCCTCTGCAACGGGAGCATTGAACTTGGTCTGCCTTCAGAGCGAAGACAAACCTAAAGCGGCGGTAGGTGATGTCTTTGAAATCGACCGGGATGAAGTCCTGGTCGCTGAGAGTGTTGTTCTTGGCCTTCTCGATTCTCGAGAGGGCCCACATCTTTTCCTCAACCACGTCGGGCGGAGAAGCACTGGGCCCTCTCGATCCTCAAGAAGGCCAAGAGCAACACTCTCAACGACCAGGACTTCATCCCGGTCGATTTCAAAGACATTACATACCGTAGATTCAGGTTTGTCTTCGCCCTCAAGGCAGACCAAGTTCAATGCTCCCGTTGCAGAGGGAGCAAACCCCTCGCCTGGCGTATCGACGACGCCCAGCACTCGGTCGTCTGCAAGAACATGCTGATGAGCCAATGCCGCTTTGCTTGCCTCTTCCCCCCGTTCCTTCGCTTCATCACCCCGTTCCGTCGCCCTGTTCCGTCAGCCTGTTCCGTCGCCCCTCCCACGCTGTCCCCATCGCAACCATGTCCGCCAATGCCCACCCCTCCATCGGTCCAACTCAGCCATCTCCCAGACCGTGCCCAGACATCTTCACCATAATCTGCTGCAACGACAGCTTCCAGCTCGCCCTCAGCCTCGCCGACATCGAGACCCTGCTCCTCGTCTGCAAGCGGGCCCAGCCACTCCTGGACTCCAAAGTGAATCGGCTTCGACACTGGTGCAAGGAGAACCGGCTGCACTCTCCAGACAGGCCGCTGCCGGATCTCATCTCTGCCAACGACTTGATTGCCATCTCGCTGCACTATGGCGGCCAAGAGACTGCCGACCGATCCTGGCTCGTTGCCTTGGCTGACCAGGGAAACCCTGCTGCGTCATATCTGCTGGCACGAATCCTGCAAGCCAATCTCGCTCACCGGCAGCCAGTGACTCGGTCCAAGCGGCGAGAAACTCAACAAGAAATCGCCCAGCACCTGGAAACGGCTGCCAACGCAAAGCATCCAATGGCACAATTCCACCTGGCCCACTCCTACCGCAACGGACTCGGAGTCTTCCAAGACTACACCAAGGCCGTCGAGCTGTACCGCACACTTGCAGATCGTGGGATGCCTCAGGCTCAAATCGCCCTTGGCTGCTGCTATGAAGGCGGCGAGAGTGTCGACCAAGACTTTGACACAGCCATTGAGTGGCATTCCAAGGCCGCAGATCAAGGCAGTGAAGACGGTCGACTCCATATCGTGTTCCTCCGTGGCTGGCTCTCGTTCATCGGCCATGGTGTCGAACAGAGCGACGCCGATGCCTTCAACCGCTGGCAGGAGGTCAGCCCTCAATCCACCGACCCGGTCATCAAGCCCATCGCCACGCACATGGTTGGGTGGATGCACTATCTCGGCCGGGGTACTGTGCGTGACGAGCAGAAGGGAGTCAAGATCATCCGGGAGAACAGATCGGATGAGTTTCCCTTGGGAGAAGAGGAGTGTCTCGCTGGTGAAAGTACGAACGTACGTCCCGACTCCAGCATCCTCGCATCTCGAAAATTCGTCGAGCTGTGCCAGCTGGGATCAGAGCAAGATTGGCTGTGTCGGCACCTCACTGCCGTGTGTCTGGTTCACGGAGTCGGAGTTCCGGAGGACCAAGTGACGGCCGCAGGCATCTTTGAGCAGCTCGCAAACGACGGTCATAATGACAGCCAGGTGCAGTTGAGAACAATGTATTTCTATGGTCGAGGAGTGGAGCCAAACCTCACAAAAGCATTCCAGTGGTGCCAACAAGCTGCAGACCAAAACAACTCCTTTGGACAGTGGATGCTGGGTACCTGTTATCGCCGGGATGACCCAATCTTCAAAGACTTGATCAAGGCCGCCCAGTGGTTCCACAAGTCGGCCGAACAGTGCAATCGGTATGGACAAGACTCTCTTGGCTACTGTTACCGATCTGGTGAGGGTGTGGCCAGAAATCTCCATACCTCCCGCTTCTGGTTCAATAAGGCCGAAGATCAAGGTATCCACCACGCTTGGCACAGAGTCAAAGTCGTTCATCGAGATTCCAACACCCGAAACAAACGAGTATGTCGGATTCAGTGATGACTGTACCCCCAATCAAATTTAACTGCACAGAGCAACCATTCAAGTTGCTTCATCTTGGTCTAGTCAACCTAAGTGCTGTGAAGATGCAAGGCTTGTTACAACCCTAAACGACACCTGCCTGGAACCTGGGTCATGTGTTCTCCCTGCTTGCCTCTCATATATAGCCTTCGACCCTCCAAGCCCCTGGTCTCCCCTGTCCTTCGTTATCTTGTTATGGTCGCCAATATATGTGTTTTCACGGTGACTACAGGCCTTAGATCATCCCCTCCGCCAGAGCCCTCGTAACAAGGCTGTTCCGATGATATAACACTGACTGAATATCGTTGTTGCGGGCGAACAATATATCCGAATCGCATAATAGCGGTATCTCAAAACATACCCATATACTGATAACTAAGTAACTAGGCTGCAGCTCGAGCGTAATTTTGTCAGAGCCAGAGGTTTCCCTCGGAAGGGTCGTCGTGACGACCCTCTTTGTGGTTCTGGATCCGATCATTGGGACTTTACTCCCCGGACTGCAGATGTCTTGCTTGGCTTGAGGTTCAAGTTGCCTGATTGGGTTCAATGCCCTCCTTTTGTCGTCAAAGCCCGCTGGCAAGATACCAAAATAGCGCACCAGCCGATCCGGTGCTTGAGCATCCCAGCGTGGTTCATGCAGCCGATCATATCCAAAAGCATCGTGCTGCCCATGCAGTCACAATGGCAGACGGCTCGACAGAGATCTTGTCGGGCGACACGGAGCTATTCCTGAACTTTGACAATGATGATCTCAGTGGCCGTGTTGGTGGCTAATGACGTTATATCAGCTATCGCTTACTGGCTATTGACTCGGCCGATTGGTGCTTTGATGCCTCTACCGATTGGTGCTTTGATGCCTCTACCGATTGTACTCACGACGGGTAAGATGTTGTGATGTACTTGTTGACTCGCCTGCTTTGGTGTCTTTCTCTTCCGACTTTGTGTCGGAGAATTCCGCAGGCTTTCTCTTTTCCATTTCCAAGTATCAAACATTGAATACAATCTGGATCCGAGTCGGAGAGCCATCGGGTCAGATAGTAGTGCGTCAGAAGGCGAAGGTCTCCCAGTTGACTTTTGTGGCTCTGTCGTCGATTTATCTCTCTCGGACGCACGTATATGTCGGTGGTGGACTAGGTCTTCCTTTGAACCTGGTTTGGGCGGTCGAATTTGTGTTGGAAGGGCGAGAGCATTTCCGGACGATCTCGGGATGGCGTGCATATTTGCAACAAGGCTGAGCAGACCTGTGGTAAAATGAGTGAAAAAGAATACGGTTTGTACAATCCGATCAAGTGAATATGCCCCCAAGTGTTAGCATCTGGCCTTAACTGGCGCTATACCTATCAAGAATGGATAGACTGTCAGCAAGAAGTCGGCCGATTCACACGGCAGATTCAATAGCATCGGATTCGCGATCGTGGCGCATATCGTGGCGTTTGATAAAATCAAGTGCGAGGAGGATAGACTGATGTAACACCTCGTGGCAAAGCAACTGACCTATCGATAGGTTACAGGACAGGACAAAATAGACAGCAGGAGACATGCTCATTACGCCATAGTTGGCTGGCCGAACGGCTGAGCCAACAGGCGGCGGGTGGAGGTAGGGGTCGCCAGACGCAACGACCCACACGAATTTGGGAGCAAGAGGCAATATTCTGTGGCGATTATCCAGGGGTCATATATGGAAATTGCGATTTCCGGACAAGCTCTTATGGTCTAGTGGTATGACGTGTCCTTCACACGGATAAGGTCCCCAGTTCGATCCTGGGTGGGAGCAAAGATAATCTTTAACGACAGCTTAGCCAAGTGGTTACGGCGTTGGACTTGAAATCCAATGGGCTTTGCCCGCGCAGGTTCGAACCCTGCAGTTGTCGCAACGACGATCACATTTTGCCTTTTCTTTCCGCTGGCCTGCCGGTTTCGATCTTGCTTGCCAAAGGCATTTTGATTTTTGAGATGCTCGCTTGTTCGCTTGCTACTTTGATCTCGCCTGCGAGTACGTGTTTTGGTATCGTGGATTGCCGGCGGTTGCTTTGTTCTCAAGGACTTGCTGTCGATTCTTGGTGTATGTAGCTGCTCTTGCTTCTGCCTTCCGGCTCCCCGTATTTGAAAGTGCCCTGGCCTACATACACCCTCCGATTATTAGATACACCTCTACCCTAACATTCCCGCACTTCGTTTTTGGGCGCTGTGCCGAGATCGATGCCGTGTTGGTTTCCGCCGTCTATATATTTCGGTGCGGAGTCCGATCGTTTGCCACAAGCTTGGTCTTGGTGGCCCTGTGGCCGGTGAGTGGTCCGATAGGGGCCGGGTTGATCAAAGTCGGTCGTCGCGTCCGAGGATCACAGCCAAGCGATTTAGCATCAACGCCGATTTGGCTCTGGGCCAACAACATCTGGGCCAACAACATCTGGGCCAACAACATCCGGGCCAACAACATCTGGGACCGGCCCGTTCGTCGTCGGTCACCCTACCAGTCGCCCTGCAATTGGTTGCGTCATGCGGCTGGCTGCATCCTCGTCTCCAAGAGTGGCTCTCTTTGCCGCTACGCTTCCGCTGTGAACCTTCCAGGCATGAGGCAGCGATTCCATATTTGTGTTGTATGTTTTTCAGGATCCATGTATTTGGCATTATTCGCCCCTGCCTTGGTCGGCTTCTCAACCAGCTTTTCATCAAGCCGCCATACACAGAACCTCACCACCGACTTCCTTGCTCAGAGCGTCTTTCAATTCCAGAATTCCATACTTCGTTTTCAGTATCGTAATGTGGCCGACTCCTTGTGGACGGAGCAGAGGCGACGCTCGTCGAGCAGAGGCGATCGCCTTGAGCTCAGGGACCGAAGCAAATACTTTGCGCGATGGCTTTGAAATCGTTGACATCTTCTTTAGGACGGGCTCTCCCTCGTGATACTTGAGGTCCATCCAGATTTTTCGACGAGCGATGTTGTCTGGTGTCACCGGTACTACTGAACCGGTGTGGTAAGGCCCTTTGTCGTCACCGCTCATGTAGGATGAGATAAACCCTTCATCGTACAGAATATGGGCAATCGATCGGTTCACATTGGTGTAAGGGACGGCAATCCGTCGAAATCGCCAACGAAAGCTGTTTTGAATCTGGGAACAGAGATTGGCAACGTTGGCGCTCATTCTGGGTTTGAAAGTTCGGCGTCCGGCTGCTGAGTTTGATGGTAGTGGATCTGATCTGTTGGTCCGAGTCGGAGGTTTCGATCGTTAGTGCCGTTCTGCGATGCTATGTTTTCTGTCGGTATTTTCCGTCCGCGGAAATGCCGGCTCGCTCCGAATCCAAGGAAACCGCCGAGATCAGCGCAGTGAACCGAGTTTCGCTTGCGATACCGGTGCTGGCATCATTGCTCGGCACTCATTTGAACTTGTCCTATCGCTGTTTGATCGCTTTCAGCATCCATCCGCAGCTTATTCGTTTCTCATGGCCCTCTTTCATTTGGGCTCCGGATCTCGGCAGTGATCTCGCACAGATGCTCCTCGTTTCAAAAGTTGCTCTCCACCCCCCCCTTCGCTGGGTTTCGGCCGCGAGTTTGTCCCCCAAATATCCGCTTCCTGGCTGTTCCCGTTATGTATGCCCATGTGGCCGTATTTCCCTCTCCAGGGCATGACGAGCAACGGTCCTGGCAGCCTTGGTGTCGTCCTGTGGCCAGGCTCCAGTCCTGCATCTCACCCTGAGCTCGTCTCACTCTGTGCGTCACACTGATTCAAAGCTGCTGCCGTCGCCTACCTCTTCCGATGCAAATGAGTCGAGTGCGTCTGCTTGCGTGTTCGTCTGTCGAGGCGGCTCGCGGTGCTTGATCTGGGCCGATCGTGCTGCTGTCGCCCTTCGTCTTTTTTTCTTCGTGGCTGCGTGTTCTGTGGTCACGTTGCTGGCTCCAGCCGCCCTCGAGCCCACTCCAGCCAGCTCCTGCCTCGCCGCTTTTCTTGCTGGGACGGCCGTGCCGCGGCGCAACGAGATCTCGGCAGTTTCGCTGATCGGGCTCTGTTTGCTCCCGACGCCCGCCGCTCGTCGACCTTCCTGTTCACCGTGGTGCCGTGGACCAGCAGCCTCAGCCATGGTGCGTGCCGTCGTTGATCTCTTCAACCATTCTCCGATCCTATATTGGTCGGCCTTGGCGTCATCCGCCAGCATCTGTCATATCGCCCCGCGCGGTCGCTGCACTCCGGTTATCCATCCCCACTGGCGTCCCTGCCCGCATGTCTCAACTCACTCCGTTCCGCTTGCATCGATCATCCAGTCGATTTCAAAGACATCAAAGATGCTGCAGTTTCTCAACTGTCGGCTAAGAATCACAATTTTGGATGGAAGGACTTTGATCGGACAAATGCTCGCCTTCGACAAGCATATGAATCTGGTGCTTTCGGACTGCGAGGAGTTTCGAAAGATCAAGCCAAAGGGACCCGTCCCGGCTGGTCAGCCCGATCGTGAAGAAAGAAGAACTCTAGGACTGGTTGTCCTGCGTGGAGAAACGATCGTCAGCATAAGTATCGAAGCCCGTCTCCCCTCGGCAGACGAAAGCAAGTCAAAAGCAGCCAGCAGCGGCCCTGGTCTGGCCCGTTCCGCTGGGCGAGGCGTGGCCATCGCTGCTGCCCCGGCTGGTATTCCCGCCGGTAAGTCTCTTGTCGACAGATTGTGTTCGACGCTCACGAAGCCGTCGCGCCAATGTTCGTTGTTATCACCACCTCCAGCGCTTGTCATCTCAAACACCATCGCACCTTCCCCTCCATGTCGACAGCACTTGCCGGCCCTGTTCGCGGTGTTGGCGGCCCTGGTATCCAGCAGATGCAACCTGCTGGCCGAGGAAACTTTGTGGCCCCTCCCGTCGCATACGGACGTCCCCCCATGCCTGGCCCTCCCGGCCCTGGAGGTCTTGCGCCGCGCCCTGGTCCTCCTATGATGGGCGGTGCCCCTCCCATGCCGCCCTTTGGTCGTGGTGGGCCTCCACCAGGCTTCCGTCC